GTGAAGGATGTGCCTCAGCCTTGCATGCATAGCCTACTACTTTCCTGCCATGCTCGTGTCCAATTATATTCATCCGGCTCCTTGCTCACTGCCACTCTAGAGCCCCTCTCTTCTACTCCTAATCATGATTAGTGGATCCTGTTTGGGCTGCTAGACAGAATGGCTTCAAGCGTCAAGTGTCATAGCCTCTTCCTGCCAAATATAAGGATACAAGGGCGCTTGCAGGTGGGCATCGCCTACACCTAGGTTTGGAATGACAAACAACAACGACTGTTCCCAACGCAGGAAGTTCGTTTTCGGATTGGCCCAGAATTTCGCAGATCTGCTGCAGGCAAACACGCCACTTTGCGGGTAACTACCTAGAGTATCACCTAGAGTGATAGATTGAATGGACATGAAACCCTATGTATCCTGGGATACCACAAGGGAACGCATTATCGCCTGAAAGCACAAAACTCAGTGTACAGTCTTGAACGGAGGGCACGATGGATCACCTCATTCTTCCTCGAACAATTTCCCCCAAACCGCTCAAGGTGCCTGCCTTATCTTCGATCAACTATGATGGTGGAGATTTCGACGGCTACCCTGAACGTCAAGGCTGGGGCACCCGAACAGTCGCTGAATGGCAAGCCATCTTTGAGAACCCCCCGCGTGAGTTCAACGCGTTCCTGCAACGATGGCTTTACTTTGGTCTTATGCATTTCTTCATTGGGCCGTTCGACATCTCGACCTTTGTTGTAGACGACACCGACAATCCTGGAATGATGATCTTGTCAACAAAGCCTTTGAAGGACTTCATCGAACGCAACCTAAGGCAAAGAAAACAGGTAAATGGTCTGTTTGGGGCCATTCGTGGGTGCGGAGATGTGCTTTTTGCGCTTGACGGCACTTGGAAGCGAAAGAGGACAGGTAATCAGACGCTCCAGCAACCAGAACGTCTCCGAGCATTCCTCCTGTTGGAACAACCTTCGGATCCTCAACACCAGCGAGTGACATTATCAGAGAGCCTCCTGTGGGAGATGGCAGTGTCTTACCCCCAGAGCTTTGGGCAAGAGGTTTATAGAATGATTCCATCCTTCCCGCAGCATTCGATTCGGACGCTTCTTTGCCTGGCTGGCTGGTGCCCATCCGACATAATGCCCATGATGCAAGAGTTTACCACAGCAGGATGTTTGTTTATGATGAATTTGGAGCGACCATCCCCAACGCAAGTGCATGTGGCGAAGAATGGTCCAGTGGGAAGCCCCAGCTGCACACAGACCTACTGTCGCTTTCGGAACTTGTCTGGAAATACCTACACTACGAAACACAAGCACGAATGCCAGGGCTGCCCGGATCTTGTGGTAGAGCTTAGTATCCTTGCTCCGGTCCTATTAAGCGATCGTATCCCGCTCATCCATCTTCAGTCTCGTCATGGTAGCGACCGTTTGTCCATCATGCCAGAAACACCGGGCACGCCATATATTGCCATCTCCCACGTTTGGTCTGATGGGCTCGGAAATCTCCAGAGGAATGCTCTACCCTCCTGCCAGTTCACCCTCCTGCGCAATCTGATCCACTCCCTACCTACCGAGCTCTCCCAAACTCAATATGTCTGGGTTGATACCCTTTGCGTTCCCCCTGATGCGGTCAACCACGAAAGAGCTCAGGCAGCTGCACTGAGACAGATGCGCCATGTGTATGAGGGAGCTAGTGCAGTTCTGGTTCTTGACTCTTGGCTGCTTTCATGTGACAGTTCAGGCATGTCGAAGGTTGAAGTTCTCATGCGGATTTTCAACTCAGTCTGGAACCGACGTCTTTGGACCTACCAGGAAGGGGCGCTTGCCAGGCTCCTGTTTTTCCAATTCAATGACAAAGCCCACGAGCTTGACTCGTATTATCAGCTGTTTCTGGAAACCCGTGATGTTCTGCTTGACCTCACATTAAAGAACTCCCTGAAGATAAGATATCAGAGTCTTCGTGGCTTCAAACAGAGCGACACGGATTTCTCTGGTGAGATCAGCTCTGTGATCTCTGCATTGAGATTTCGGACTACGAGCGTGGCCAGTGATGAAGCCCTGTGCATAGCAACCCTCCTCAACCTGGATATGGGGCGGATCGTTCAAAGTCGCCCGAATGAGCGAATGGAGGTTCTCTGGAGTATAATACCAACCATTCCGAGTGAAATATTATGTTACCGAGGAGAGACTCTGACACGTCCGGGACTTCGGTGGGCACCAAAATCTTTCTTATTATCTTCGTCAAATGTGAACCCCCCGAATAACCATTATATACCTGCCATAGCCACAGCGGACGTGTCAAGTCCACCTTTGGCCCAAATCACTCCCGCTGGGCTTATAGCAAAGCTCCATGGTATAGTCATGGACATCGGAATGGGACGCTTAGGCATGTCATTTATGATGAAAGACAATCTGCGAGAGCATCACCTCCTTTTTGTTTTCGCCGGCAATAGTCAGCATGCCGAAATGGCCAGTGATGGATTCCGGGACAATCAGGAAGAAATCCCTAGCATCCAGCCACATACCATCTACGGAACTGGGAAGATTGCCTTTCTAGTTGTTATGCACCCGGGTACCGAGAACCTGACACATCGGCGTGTGGGTATCCTAGCAGCAATTACCCATGAGGACGGTGATGTTGTTCGCGCTAGAAAAATATGCGGAGCTATTGGCGAGCTGCAGAAGCCTTCAACAAGAGTGGTTAATACCGCGCTTCTAGACCGCTTGTATCCTGACCAAGTGATCTCTGAGAGATTCGAGGGCCCTCCCGGTCTCGGCACGAACAACTTTGTCGTGCGAACAGCCTTTGGCCAAAGAAGAGCTTCGCAGCTTTGGTGTATCGACTAGAGCCTGACGACGCACGCAGAAACCAAGAAGGGGAAAGGCTTCTCACACACTTCATCCAAAAGTCCTCTTCGCTTCCACAATCCTCTTTCTTTCTTCTTGTCCCTTCCTCCCTGGCAACGTCTCATGGGGTCAATGGTCCACGAACACCAGCCATGGCATCTTCGATAGCTTCAAACGCACCTTTCTTGTATCTCTCTGTCTTCCTTCAGGTTCTCGACTAGCTGCAAAGACAGATTGAAATGACTTGTTCCTGTCAGTGGTCGATATGCAGTCGTTGATGAGACTTTACGCAATTAGTGAGGTATACAGTCCAGATTATCCCCTCAATCTCGTTGCGCTGTTTGAGTTGCTCGGGCTCAGACCCTCCATCAATTCAGGTGTTTTGCGGGTCCAGTCTTTGCATGACAACTAGTAGTTTCTGAAACGGTGCAGATTGCCCATCATTGGAACGCTTTCCGTAAAACAGCCCGGTGTTAAGTCTATGAGGCGTAGAGGGATTGAAGGCTGCTGCGGAGGATTGCCTCAGACGTAGATAGCCCTGTCTCATTTCCTTCTGGTCAGGCGCCGCAGCTGTAGGTTTGCATCTATGTGATTAATCTCTCCATAGGAGGTAACACCTCACAAGAAGCCCTACAAAGGCTTTCAGCTGTGCAGAAGGCTAATTCAGCGCAGTAGAGGGATGAATTGGCTTGGTATATAATTCTAGGCTCGTCTTGGGGGAATGATGGTTGCTATACTTTTGTTTGTAGACCGTGACCATATCGTCAAAAGTGGATATAGCATACTCATTCAAGCACAGCCAAGCTTCATAATCCGATAGGCTATATATATGGCGTCTAAAGCGTGTGCTAATATCTTCATAAACAGAAATAACATGGTATATAAGAAAGTTTTCCTGTCCGGAGCGACGACCGGACCTATTCAGCGCACTCGCGTTGGTCAAATAAGTAAATGTGGTAATTATAAAGAACAGGGCCGAGTCTCACGCGTGGCCAATCTCAGCCACAGAAGACTTTTTGTCGAGTCAGAAAAACAATTGCCGTGGCAAAGGCCCTCATCACGATTAGAGCCTCCAAAGCGTGGCTTCTTTCCCCTCCAAAACGTCGGGAGCTTCGACTTCGGAGAGACATTGCTTAAAGGGTTCAGTGGCTGGTTGTACAACGGTAATTGTTCGTACATTGCCCATATGGGTGCTGAAAACAGCTCCCCCGGCAATTTGGCCACCTGGTTCCCAGTCTTTTTATAGCAATAACCCAGTTTGCCATGGGCTGTCATCATTGGTCTTGCTGAAGCTTCTTGCTGCAACAGCTCTATTGTGGTCGCTCTTCAAAAGGTTCCATTGTGTCTGGGCTTCTCGAAGGGAGCCAACAACACGCAGCATTAATTCTTCATTTTCCAATAGAGGTCCTTCGCACCGGGCAAGCAATGACCGATATTTTTCTATACCGTCTTCCAAGCATCCCAGTTTGATATCGGTGTCCGCAGCCTCTAAAAGCTCTTGAAGCTCCATTGGGGTACTTGGCCATTGATTACCTTGGCTGACGGATCGGTACTGCAGAGCAATGATCCACAGGCTCTTCGCTCTCTCCAAATCCCCATTGAGGCGACAGACTCTTGCGTAAACCGGCGCGACGGAGCCACACAGTTCGAAATATCTGCCGTGCGGGGGTTCCAGCATCTCTCTTGATACGAGGGACAGAAACTTTTCGAGTACGCTGCTCAGTCGTCCAAGGTTCCTTTCCAAGGAGTCTAATCGAGATTCAGAGTTCATGTTGGAGCAGGAGTTCCCAAGGAGGAGCAGAGCGGATGCCGCATTGTCGAGTATATCCTCCTTCGACAATCTAAGTCGTACGAAGGAGCGTACCATGTCATGGATGAAGAAGCTCTCAAGTACAGTATCCGAACGCTTCCGATTGAACTTGACAAATCCGGAAGTCTCGAGGTCCCTGAGCGCAGATGTGAAGCCGTCCCTCTGTGATTGCAGTTGGAGCAGCCAAGTCAAAGTACCCGTCAATGGCAGTTCACTGACAGCCACCTGAATGGATGAGTCGGGTGATTCAGGGCTTTTGCCTCTCTGGGAAACAAGGTTCGAAATGGCCGACAAAGGTATCTGGCCACGACCGAGGAAAGCGAGAAGATGTAAAAGCCTCACTGAGTCGCTGCTCCGCTTGCTCAGAGCGTCATACAACATTTCAAACGCTGTCCAGAGAGTGCGCCCCTTCTCGTAAGACCCAAAATTCTTGCGCAAGGGTGTTTTGAATGTCGTTTCAGCAAACTGCCTGTCAAAATGTCGATTGTATTCGTTTAGAAAAATGAAGCCATATGACAGGAATGAGCCGGCTTGCTCTAAGGCAAGAGGCACTCCTCCAACCCGCCGCGAAATTGCCTTCGCAGTCATTGGAGCTATGAGCGGTGTCAATGAACAGTGGAGCCAGGATTATCTGCATGGGATGAATACCTGAAGAGTTCGAGATAGTGCTGCCTGAACACCTCATGAGGATCTCAGAGCCTGCTTGCTCGTCAACACCATTCACTTGAATCCCTGCAAAGTTCAGCCGAAGGTGCAGATCAGATGATATAGTTGTCAACAACACATGGCCATGGTCACAGGAAGGTATGTACTTCCTTAGATCTATATCATCAGGTTCATTCGCATCCTCACAGTCGTCGACTCCATCGAACACGATGATCCAAGAACGATTTAGGTCTTGTTCCAACCACTCCAGGACTTTATCAACTGCTGAATGCCCTTGGTAGACGCTTTTACCAAGCTTCAAGCAGACCTGAGCGAACGACTCGTGGATCGAGTCCGCAGACGAGCTGTCGATCCATAGAATGGAATCATAAGTAGGTTTGTGCATCGCAATATAGTGGATTGCCAACTGTGTCTTGCCATAACCACTGAGTCCCCAGAGTGCCACGCCTTTTCTCCCTCGCTCGGGTCGTCCAAGATTCTGCTCCATTTGTTCCAACTCAACTTTACGCCCAAAAAAGACCGACTTCGGGATCGGAATCCTCATGTGCGCTTTCTGCACCGAACGCAGCTCTAGCGCCAACGATTAGTATGCTCAAGAACAGGCTTTCAATCACTGCTCACCTGCTTTAGTACTGGGTACCCAATACCCCAGAAAGGCTTTAGCACCAGCCGCAGCCGTTGCTGCGGCGTAACTCTGCCACACCTTGCTCTTGTGGCTATCTGCATAGTCGCAGACCCCCTTGATGATGACGCATGGAGTATTATCCCATATCCCGGCGCCTTCCATCTCGAGCCCAATTACTCCCTCCCTCTTCGCCAATAGATCACGGTGTTCCCCTGACTTCATCACCGTATCTGCACACGCAAATGTACCAATGTGTACACTACTATTAGTAGGTTTCGCGCTGGATCGGCGACGACGGAGGTGCGTCTCATCGCAACCGAGACCAGAGCAATCACTCTTTAAAGCTTCGTCGCAGACAATGTGCACGGAGTTACCGTTAGCACAATCGCAGTGGTGAGGAAGGCCATTCGTCCGATGCTGATGCCGGTATGATGACTCGAAGAGAACATCAAGCGAAACGCCCGGGCACATCCACCTCTTGTCTTGAGCTTGTATATTGTCCAAATGCTTGTTGAGCTGCTCTTCGAATTCACTATATACCTTACTACTCGCCATCGCTGACAAGATCGTTCTTATCTCTCGATTTGGTCGTCCAACGCCAGTCTTCCGCTGGAAGCCACCCGGATACTGCTTGCCAAAATCATACTCGATCAAACTATCACTGATGATGACATCTCCAAGGAATATCTCTGCCGCACCGCTTGACGGGAATGGGACGCCACCGCATATGCCCACGAGCAACGCCAGCCGAATGTTCGGGTAGCTGAATCGCAAGCTCGTAGCCACGCCCGCTGCGCTCACCTTGCCCATACCTGGCATATGACACAGGACAATGTTCTGCTTCCCTATCCGCCCTGTGGTGTAGGCGTTCACATCTCCGTTATCCTTCATGTGTTCATTGCGAATTCTGTTATAGGTTTCGTCCAGCAAGGCTTCGACCGCGTTGACTTCCAGCGGAAGGGCGCATAAGATAGCGATCTCAAACTCGTCCCGACTGCTCAGACGCATCTTCGGATGAAACTCGCGGCCACGGCAGCAGATCCGGATCTCAAAGTCAGTAGAAAGTCTGCGCAAACCTCCACGTTTCGCTTGATAGTATCAATTGCTCAACAAAGTCTCCCGGCAGGTCGCATCTTGCTCAGATTCAGTCTGTCTGTTTCTGCGGGGAGTCGGCATTTAAACACGCCAGGCTGAAGTTTCGCCTCATCCTGGCACACGAAAAGGGACCAATCATGATATCTCTCTAGCCGCTTCCTCAGCTTTGCCGTCCTCTTCAGCGCATTTGGCGCATTGGCATACATATATCGGCGCCAAATTCCTGTAACAATATCATTGTGACCTGTGGTGAAGCGCCTGATCCAAGCCAGGAATAGAAATGTTGCGCCACAACACTGAATCTCCAGTGGCCCAATTCAATCCACGAGAATCCGTTGCTTTCGAGGAGATGGAGTTTCGCAGAAGCCATTACTGCTCACACCGGGGCCGAAACCGCCCGGACTTGCTCATATGTTCGGTAAGGCTGATCAGATAGCATAATTGGATTGTCTTACATCCCGCGACAATGAAACGGCCATCAAACTCAATATCCATCTGTTACGTGATGAAAGATTAGGAACGCCACCATCAGTGAAAACTGAGACGCGAGTGTAGAAATCGTCCAGCGGTCGTAAATTCCTGGATGTAACATCATTTTTTTGTCGCAAACAACATTACTTGATTGTGGAGTATCACGAACGTCCCTGACATGCCGACCCCTTTGATCGACATCGGCTATCCATCTGGCGAGCGCCACATTGTTAACTATTGATTCACCAAGATGCGTCACAAGTGGAATCGCTGGAACTGCGACCAGAGTCACAGGTATAAATCGTTCGACTCAGATCCCTAGGGAGAAGTGCGAAGCTCGGATTCAGTTCCGCTCAATTCCTCCTCAGGTCTCTGATATACTCAATCTCTGAAAATGAAAAAAGCCATCGTTCTTGCTATCATCCCCTTCACGCAGGCCCTCGTTGGTCTGAGCTGGAGCGTTTCCAATACTCCCTCCTCTGGCCTGAAGGACATCACGTTTCCCTTCTCGATCGCCAATGCGCCTCATGAGACAGGCTACTATTTCGCACAGCAGTTCAACTTCAACGGTCTTTCTGATGTCGGGTACGCAGGCCTCCAACCACGTCCGGATGCCTCCGGCTCAAGCATCGTCCACGCTGTTTTCTCCAGCTTCGTGGCCGGAACCACGAGCACCGACCAAAACTGCAGCGACGGCGCAGACGGCGGTGCGGGTGTCAGCTGCAGTGTGGAAATTCCCGCGCCATATGCTCCGCTCTATCATCTCGTGGTCAAGAACACAGGGAGCACCACCTGGACAGGAACGCTGGTCGACACTGTGAGTGGCAAGTCGACACATGTCGGGTCGTACACTTTGCCGAATGGTGCTGGAGGAATCATAAGCAGCCAGGTCGGATTCATTGAGTATTATCCGTGGAACGCCATGACGAGTCATAGCTGTAGCGAGCTCCCGTATACAAATGTCACATTCGGAGCGCCTACGACGAGCACTCCGGGGGCCGGAGCGGGTCAGTTGAACAAGCCGTACGAGTATGGAGATTGCGTTGGAAAGGTGAACTTCGATGTTCAGGAGACAGACCAGGGATATCAGGTGTCAGTTGGCTTTTAGACAGAGCCATTCTTTTGTCTTTCTCAGAGATGGACGATCAGCGTTCACTTTCGTTCGAGTTCGTCGTTATTCGCATTTGAGTGGCCTCTCCAAAATTTCAGCTTCTCTGTAACCATCACTAGTGCATACAGCAGAACATTCCACTCAGAGGGCTGATCGCCATGTCTCTCGGGTGTGAATCGACTGAAAACGCTGCCTAAGTTGGCCCATTCTTCATGCGGGTCATCTTTCATCGCTTCCAAAATAGGAGTACGCAGCTTTCGGTAAGCCTTCCTGATCAATAACACAATATTGTTCAGGTTCAGGACCAGAGCATACGTGCCTATAGCTAGAAGAGCTGTAACAATAGCGAATACCACCAGATTGAAATCCCGGTTGATACTCCATAAAGCAGCGCAATAACTGAGTGGGAGATACAATATGCTCACATATGTGAGCAGTTTGACGTTTTCACCAAGCTGAGTAGCAGCCCGTGATTCGATGACAGCGCTCGCATTAAATAGCTACAGTCAAGTCAGCAACTAGCTGAAACACAATCAGGCTGTACCTACTCCATCTCGTAAGGTCATGGTTCGATCACGCAAATTCTCGAAACGGCTCAAGATTTCTCTCAATCGTGCGACATGCCTTTCTACCCTCTTAACCGAATCTTCCAGTCGCGGGGGATCTTGAGGAGGCTTGGGAGATCCCAATTCAACCTCGGTGTTCCGCCACTTGTCCAGGTAGAAAGCTTCGTAGTCTTCAAAGACGTCCTTTCTAGCCCACCAGTACACCTCCCATTCATGAATGGCATCGGACACCGCGGATGTGAAGCCCTCTAGACTATCCATGAGCCAGAAATAGTACCGCGATCGGGAAAACGAAGCATCATCGAAGAGAAAGCGATCATGAAGGTCAGGATGGAAAACGCTATCGTTCTGGTTGAGAACAAGGTCAAAGTGGTTGGCAATCTGGTCCCAATCGTTGGCCGCGTGCTGCAGTGCCTCTTCTATCAGCGTGACTGCTGTGGTGAATGGGGCGGTCCGTGGGTCATCCTGCCTGCGACGGTGAATAGATTCATCCAAGCGGCGAAAGTGTGAGGGTGCCAGATGCATAAGACACCAATGACTGCGGTCCATATTTTCTAGCTTTCCAGTCCGAGTATTAGACCAGAGCGTCCGTTGAGATGGTATGAAGCCCAACGTGAAGGCGACCTCGGACAGATACAGCTTGCTTCTTGAGCCCTTTGACCCATACAGCTCTCCAGACCTCCAGGTCGACTTGATTGAGGGCTTCGTGCCATCTATTCGGCACCAAGTGATGTGGAACGGTTCAATTGAATCAGGTGCGTCGTTGCGCGAACGCCTCCGTTTAACACAGGAAATATGTGTCCTCAGAATTCCAGGCACTAGGTCCGGGTACTGAAACTTTGCACCAGTAGAACTCCGAAAGAGTATGTGATAGAGCGCGTCAAATCCATACTCAAACGATGGCGCTACAGCATTCAAGCCAACACAGCTAGTAATGCGATTCCAATGGCCCGTTTCCCTCCACTTGATTTCTGTCGGCTTACCGTTTCCGCTCTTGTAGTAAAACCGCGTTGGTCGAATGTTGACTTTGCGGAGGTCTGCCTCCAAGGCTGGGACGGCCAAAATTCTTGGATCCTTATTCCTGAGGATTAATTTCCATTCTTCAGTGTATGCAGTGACGCGCTCGTATATGACCGCGTGCATCCAGTCGTCCATATCAACGATCTGAATACGACCGTTGCTTGCCTTCAATGTCTTAAAGAACGACTGGAGCTGTTCCAAGTGCGAACTCAGACCAGAGGAACCAAGACTCCTCAGGTGGCATCGATCAAATGCGAATTGCATTCTGCCGTCGCAAGGGACAGCATAAAGATTTCCCAGGGCTGTCAATAGCACTTGTATGGTGTCGACCGTGTTCTCCCCAAAACCAACATGACAATCTTCAAACGGTTCACATACCCACTTGGACGGAAGGGAGGTACTGCAATTGAGAGAATAAGGAACCAATCGTGCTTTTCCACTGTGAAAACCGTCAGAGGTAACATGAACTTGGTCTTCCAATCTTTTGCCATCAATATGATACCATCCATCGCCAATACGCTTAATCTCCCATTCAGGAATATAATCTGGGTATCCTGCTCCAGGATAGGACTGATACTGCCCTGGATAGGTTATTCCTCCTGGGGCAACAGGCTTCCCTGGCATATGTTAGATAGACGCTCCCAAATACAAGAAGACACTTGATTCTCTGTACTCACAGTAATTCCATAAGGTGTCAGCTCTCAGGGCTGTCGACAGTCTGTGGAGGCGTGGCCTATTTCGCTCATCGACAGAATAATAAACTCGAGGATACTTGAGAGTTTCATCTGCAGCGTAAAGAAGAGTCTGCCCTTGACCTTGAAATTCGAAGTCAGGGTCGTCACGTTTCAGGCAGGACCTCAAGGAGTTTTGTGACTTGTTTCTTCCATCGAGCCGTGTCTCCTCTTCGAGGAACTGATTGCTTTTATCGTCATCTGGGATCTTATCATCATTGGTACCAATTCCAGTGCCTTTATCTCCCTCAAGAAGAAGCTGCTTGAGCAGTCTATTTTGGATACGCAGTCGTTCATTTTGCTCTTTGAGCAAAGCTCGTATCTCGCTCCACAGGTCGTTGGACGAATCATCCGAGGGCTGTCTGTTCTTCATGATCCAGTAAAAACATACATGAATGATCTGATTTGCGCATGTTATAGGCCGAATGTCGAAAAGTCGTAATGAGCTTCAGAAAAGCTTGAGGAGACGCGGATTGAGACTACAACATTGAACGAGGCTGAGACTGAACGCGTGACTTTTCTAGCCTTATCCTTATTCCGAAAAGGGTAAGGCTGCCCAAGACACTGACTGTTTATTGTCTTCTTCTTTCATATTTCTCCATCTGTTTCTGGCAGACCAAAAATATCATCGAGACATGAAGCACTCGTTGGAACGATGATGCCGTCAGAATACAAGGCTTTGATGCAGGCGTTAGTTCCTTTGTTGTATTCCCCTGCTTCATCGCTCCGAGGTTGTCCGCGGCATGGTCAAGACAACAGTTTAGATCCTTTTGAGTGGCATATATCATCGTGCTGATTTTGCAGGTAAGGTCTTCGGAATCGCCAAAAGGCGCAAGATGATCTCAAACTTCATGCGAGGTGAAGCCGTGAAATGAAGCAATCCATGTGCAGTCTGTAATATAGAGCTATTAGAAATTAAGCAGCTAGATATGTTACGGGCTAGGCCGTAGAGAAACCTATGACTAGGTCTGTACAAGAAGAACTTGCTGAAGAACTAGAATATAGATAGAAATATTCATCTATATGCGGCCACTAGCAAGGTGTTATATAACTCAGGTGGTTAGTTCATAAGTTAGTATCAATATCGAATACTATATAGGGATATCGAACACCATATAGTATTGATATCGAATCCTTAGTATTGATATTGAATACTCATATAGTATATATTCGATAGGTATCGATACTAAGCATTTAATATTAATACTAAGTATTTGATATCCCTACTAAGGATTTGATATCAATACTATATGGTATTCGATATCACTATATAGTATTTGATATCTAGTGATTGCTGAGATAGAGGGGAAGAGTGTTGTGAGCAAGGCCTGTAATATGCTCATGCTGCCTAGCAGGCACTTGTGATTACGAAGTAGTCTATGTGGGTGTTCAATATCAATAGGATATCAAATACCCATATAGTATTGATATCAAAATTCATATACAGGAAATGTAAATTATGTAATTCTAGGGAGGTGGAAGCAGGAGCAGTGGACATACTTAGAAATTCATTTTTGGTTTTTTCAGTTATCTCCCAATGGCTTGCTGTAATCAGCCTTGAGATGGCAGCAGACTGGATAGCTTCAATAGGACACGATCTACCCAATAACAAAGTGGGGCCCCCGCTGTGTGATGTGAGACAACTCAGAGCCTGTATCATCATGCGATCTAGCCTCTGAGTTCCTCTGTTGCTATTTTTGTACTTTGAATGCCTGCCAGTGCAGGGCTGCAGGCCCAGTCAGCCTGCTTTGATTACACCATCTACAGTATAAGATCGCGGAACTAGCACCATTGTCAGCTTAAAATGAAGAATTGCCCCTTATTGAATGTCTTATCCCATTCACACTAAATACCTCTTTTAAGGTCTGCAAGAAAATTAACCAAGTTTCTGTGGCTTATACACAATTCTGGACCGCATGAGAATATGCTAACTCCCTTCTACCTTCTAGAACAATGGTAAGCACCAGTCAAGCAAGTAATTACAAGCAGGGCTATTCCAGCCAGACTGTTGCAACACAACAAACTCGCACAGCTGAGTCGGAGGCTGCTTTTCTACTGCCGTACATCAAAAAGACAGACTGCATTCTCGATGTCGGCTGCGGTCCTGGTACCATTACCATTGGCTTTGTCAAGTACGCCAGTGAAGGAAGGACGATCGGCATTGATATTTCTGCAAATGTCTTAGTCAGGGCCAAGGCAAAGGCCAACGAGGCCAGCATTCCCAGAGAGGGGCCGGGTTCCATTGTCTTCGAGGAAGGCAATATCCTGGAAGGACTCACCTACTCGGACAATACATTCGACGTTATATTCTGCGCTCATACCTTGGGGTATATGCCGCCGCCAGACATGCCGCTTAAGGCCCTCACCGAGATGCGACGAGTACTGAAGCCCGGGGGAATCTTGGCCACACGCGATACCGTCGAACAGCACTTTTACCCGCGCAGTGTGGACCTTGACCGTCTCTGGGTGGGGAATTTCCGGCGAGCAGTGCTCAAAGGGGATACTGAAGCAGAACTTTCACCCTCGATGATGCCGGCTTTGTTTCGTCGTGCGGGCTTTGATGCTGACGGGGCCAAGGTTTGTATCAGCACTGGAAGTACGGTGTTCTCGGGAGCAGACACTCGAGAGTGGCTAGCCAAGCGTGCTGAGAGCCAGTTACAGCCCGGCGACCCCTTACACCGGAGCTGGCTGGAGGCTGGCATTACCGAAGACGAGATACATGAGACGCTGCTCGCCTCGAGGAAATGGGCTGAGACAGAGGATGCTTGGTATGCGGCATTGCAGTGCGAGATGCTCGCATGGAAGTAGCTTAATCAATACTTGGCCAATGCTCGATCTTATAAAATCACCAGATTACAATCTTCAATGCTAATACCATCATATCGCAACCAATGCAATTTCAGCTATTAGGACAAGCGAAACCCACTGGTCCGCGTTTGGAAGAATCCCGCAGGATCATACTTGAGTCTCGCCTGCAAGGCCCGGTCGTGTGTCCTCAATCGACCCCAGTAATCTTGGTCAGCGTTGACATCATTCATATACAACGGACGATACACATCCGGCAGTGTTCCATTAGCTATGTGCTCCTCAAGCAAGCGACCAAACCCTTTGAAGAGCTTCTGCGTGGCATCGTGCATCCGAGCGTCGGACAGCCCAAGCGACCACTGCAGGGTGATCTGAAGGAGAATATAGTCCTGGTCTGGGGGAAAGTCGAGCAGATCCTACACTTCTGTCAGAGTGGTTGTTTTTAAGTGTAGGGAAAAGACTCACTCCTCCGAGCTCCAAGGCTTTCTGTGCGATGCTCCGTGGGAAGGGCTGGAAGTCGATGGTCCCCACCATGCCGGTCTCCAGCAATACCTCGTTGTTCACGTCAAGCCAGAAATCAAAGATGGATTGTAAGACCTCGGGCGACATGTCCTTTGGGACCGGAATGGTTTCACCTGCAATGCTGTATCGGCTTCCGCTGCAGGGTGTCAGTGCTGTACGAGCATTTCCGGATTTGCAACTTACTGAAGGATGAATTTGTCGCCGTTTTTCAGCTGTTCAACTCAGTCAGACATGGCCAGCACATTGTCAAGTTGATTCAGCACCCACCAGGTCGGTGTAACTATCGTATGTCCGGGTTTGGTCCGTCGGATGCAGGGCAGTGAAGTTGTCAAAGATACCCGCCGGGGGCTTCTCTCCATCATAGAAGAGGAACATGACCCAGATATCAAGCAGCGGTGCATGCTCCCTGGTCAAAATTATTGAAGCCTTCTCATCGGGGTAATACTCGACGAAATTCTGCAGAGCAGCAAGCATCTCCGCCGTATCAACACCAGAGAAGATGTAATTTCCTCCCCAAACGGGGTGATCCATCGGACGCGTCTGGACAGTGTACGCAGTGACGACGCCGAAAGCGCTGCCTCCACAAGGCAGCGAAGAGATCCGAGTTCTCATTCTCATTTGCGTTGACGATCGTGCCGTTCGCCAGGACGATCTCGTAGTTGAGGATATTGTTCGCTCCCCAGCCATACTGGGGGCTGAGGTAGCTGAGACCACCTTTTCCATTGCTCAGCAACCGGGTTTACGCATGAGAGACGAGCTCAAGACTCACCTCCTAGAAGCAACCCTCCAACACCTACACCTCCCAGTCTCCCGCCGACAACCGCCCGTCCCGTTCCCTCCAACTTCCCCTGCACGTCCTCCCACTTCTGCCCCGGCCCGACAACAGCCGTCTGGGTGGAAGGGTCATACTCCACCTGATCGAGATTCTTCGTAACGATCAGCACCCCGCCCTGCGTGCTCGAGAAACCAAGGTTAGGCGAGTGACCGCCCGATTTGACCGCGAATTGGTCCTGCGTATACCCCAGCACGGCGATCACATCCGCCATCTCCTGGGCATTTTTCGGCGCAACCATGCATTCGGGATGAAGATCCGAGCATGCCGCCGACCAGTAGTTCGTCAGGTCGCTGGTATACGAGAGCGAGAGCGGATACTCGACCTGGAAGCCGTGATCGGCCAGGACAGAGCAGAGACTGTCCGAGCTGCCTGTCAGGGCGTTGACGAGAGAGTTGACTAGCGAGGCCATATTGCAGTTCTACTATTATCCACCAAAGTCATAACCACGACGTGCTCACCGATATCAAGGGGCCAGCTTTAAGTACAGCAATGGGTGTGTGAAAAAACCATCAGCCAGCCCACTCGATCGGTCACAATCTGTGCCTGCGCCCAATTATTCCAGCTTCTGCATTAGCTCGGTCTGCATGTCTGGGAGCTGAATCTGGGTTTCTGCTCGGAAAGGAATTGATGTGCCCTGGCCATGCCAGTCTCGGACCAGACTTATTCATTGCTTCTTCCACATCCAAAACACACCCAATCATGCATAGTCAAGTTCCTTGCTTGGGATTGATTATGATAAGTCAACTCATAATCTCTCTCGTCTAGAATATCTATTATGTATGTATCAATTATTTGATAATAATAATATGCTCAAGGCTGAAATTAGAGGGAACGCTGTCTTGGCCTTTTTGCTGAGGGTCTACTCTGCATTCCAGATCCACCGAAATTTTGAGATGAGAATGTGACCAGTCGAACTCTAAGTCCAGTGCGCAAAGTTTGTTTGTTTACTGCCCTTATGAATGATTGATGCTCTTCGCCTTGATATCTTGGCTACTTCACGAGTGTCAGACCTAGTTACTTCCTGTCTACATCTGAGTCTCAGATGGACATCATGGTTATGATGCTTTCATCATCCCCAAATCCCCTACCAATCTAGACCAGAATATGGTGATAGTCAGCTTGTGATGGCTTGATTCGGATGATTTTGCCAACCAGTTAGTCTTACCAAAGACCAATAGTCTCTCACGCTAGTAAGCGCCAGGTACATTGGATCTATCCTATGATTCCTCAGACATCATCAAGACTATCGGCAATTGAATTAAGCGACGGTCTCTGGCTCTACCCTTCGCATGAGAGGATAAATCGGGTCCTGATCCTATCTATGATCCCTCAGGCTGCACAGGAAGCTGCTCACGGCATTCGTGAGGCAAAATGACCAGTGCCCTCGAGTGAGAAGGAACCAACAGTTCCAACGAGAAGCGGTTGTCTGCTGGTATCACATCGACGTTCCAGTCATCCGTATGGAGTGACACATATTGCTTCCACATTTTGAAGATTCCCACACGGGGTACGCTGCACCTGGATTCCTTTCCAACCTTGCTCACACCGGCGAGGTGGAGTGAAGCCAGTTGGTAGTTGAGACGGGGGTATAATGGTCGAAACTTGTCATTTCCGAAAGCATGCTGTCACAGTCTTCCCAGGCCGTCGACGCACCCATGGTGGTCGGATACATCCAACCCAAGGTCAGCTCTTCTCGAAACGCATGCGATCGCGGAATTTGGCCAGTCAGATTAGATTCACTAGGCGAGTTGCAGCGGTCGCGACCTCGTCTGGTGTGGAGTGAAGACCGAACATGATTGCAAGGCTGATAGTGTTTGCGTGTTGTGGAAAGAAGGGTGCACGGTACCGAGACTGAGTGGCAGAGTTGACACCGTCCACTCTTCCTCTAGGTCCGCAACGTCTTTTCTGAATCCTGGAAGAAGTCCTCATAGAGCACTGCTTGTATTACTGACATCGGAACCGACTCACTGGCAAGCGACTCAAGCTCCTCCCCTTCTCTTCTCGAGTGACCGTCAACCATCCCTATCTGGATCTTGCAGCGTCGATGAAAAGAAGATGGATGGAGTGGCGGATGGTCTCCCCAAAAAAGGAGCGAATGGAATTATTTCCTGCTTCAACAGGTCTCGCCAACTGAGAAACACAACGTGCTGTCTGGACAACGTCCACCGATTCAATCGATACCAGTCGGGTTGTCGCTGAGTTTTGGAGAGATGACCTTTTCTAATAAGAAATCGTGTCTATACTCGGATTTCAAAAGGATTAGAATGCTTTCCAGACGCTCCACAAATGCTACATCGCGGATTTGATACGTACCTGGCGAAGAAGGCAATCTTTGCCTATATCCAGACAGACACAGCAACGACAAAGGACTGAAATCACTGCCATGAGGGAATGATAGTGCAGGTTTATCCAAGTCATAAGGCACTTCCTCTGCAGTAATCCATGAAGCCGTGCAGTCAGAATCATCCTTTATTGGGTCTCCTGGAGCAGACCGTGAAAAGGCGTAAGATACGGAGCACCAACATACAGAACGCCGAGCCTTACTGATCATCAACAGGCTGTCCAGGCATATTATGTCGTCTTTCATGGTGAATGATGAATGAAAATTCTGCACGCTCCGGATGTTTCTTAGACATTTTAAACACTTCCGCATACATCTTCCCACTTCCGAGGATTCACATATTCCACTGATTCTCGGACTATAAAGTCTCGACACTTTCCTGCTCAACCTCTTCATTCAGTTGCTACCTGAAGGCAGCGCTTCTGGCAGCAAAGATGGTCTTCTACGCCTACGCCACCTCAGGGGTAAGCTCTCAAGGCCAGAAAGCAATCCCTCTTGACTAACCGAAGCAGGGCTTCGCCGTTTGGCTCATTACGGCCAAGAACAAGGACATCTTGGATGCCTGGTTCCGTGCCATGGAGACCTCACAGTACGGAAACATCCTGCGAGTCAATGCTGAGTGGTACCGGTACCAAAACTTCCGCATTGAGCAATCGATCACCGAGCACCACCTCGCTCAGAGATTCGAGGGATTGATCCTCTTCAAGCCCTTGTATGGCTACAATGATTCGTGGCACATGATCGATAACGGCCCTTTTGTTGATTGCGTCCAATACAACTGGTAGCCTCCACCCTTCTCATGCCTCATGAAAGGTATCTGATTTGTCCTGCCTACAGGTACTACATCCGCTCGAAGCGGTATAAAGCTCTCTATTGGGACGTCCAACGCAAGTCGGAGGTCGAATCACTTCAGGTCTACGCCAGCACTAAATCTCGCACTCGGTTCCTAGCCGTTAAACAAGTCAGCCCTAATTACGCGCCCTCTCCGTCAGATAACCTCATTATCGGCGAAGATCTTGTGGTTCTTCACCATGCCTCCGGTACTGTGTCGTTCATCCGGGACAGCAAGGGACGCTACATATTGACCATATCCCGTGCTCGGATTCATTTCAGTATCAACGAGCTCAACACCAGTTTTGCGCCACAGTCAGACGACCGCATTGCCTGGTACCCAGGTTGCAACGCTGAATGGGAGCTGGTGTATTAACTGTGCTGGGGTGTCTGGGTCTGGGACTTCCGTTGAAGAATCGGTAGAATAGCTGCCGATGAGACATTGTCGAGTGCTACTAATCAGCGGCATCTTACAGTCTTAGTACAATGGAGTGAACTCTGACAGCCAGCGATCGAATCCGAGCAATCCATGTAACGATCATCTTAACTTTATCATCCCAATCTCAAGTTGTATGAGCTTGTTCTCTTCCTCATAACCCGTAGTATTGATTTCTACCCAGTCCAATCATTCATCATAGAGTGTACGTCCGCCACCGAATCCTCAACCCGCATCCTCCTCCCTCTCGCTCCATCCTACGCACAAGAACATTAAACAGAGAATCAAGCTCTTTCCGCTTCAGCCTTGGCTCGGGTCGTCGACCTTATCATATCATTTCTCTCCAGTCCGTCCTGGAGCTTCCACGCCCTCTGCTTGTCCTAGTTCCTCTCTCTTGACCATGCAGGGATATTTGTGCACTGGTGAAGCTCCAATGGGTTTCTGCCGGGGTCGCGCGTAGATTGCGCGGTATGCGCTTCCAATCTGTCTCGCCGCCGAGGTTGAACGGTGGGAAGAAGTGCAATCTCCTAATCGGGGCCGCTGGTTATGAGGACGTGGACGGAGGATCAGCGAGGATATGCGTAAGAATAGGATGGTGAACAGTTGCCTGGTCGCTCGCGAGGCGGATTTGTGGGTTTGGGAAGGACGCTGTCGGAGTCGAAGATGATGATGTTGGTCATTTTCTTATATTGGCTCATATGGTGAAGAAAGGAAGGGTTGTAGTGGTATTATGAATACTACTGTCTGACTCTGATCTTGTCTTTGACAAGGCAATCAATTGATGCCTGAGGTCCACACTGGTATGTGTGAATATCCATAATTACACCCTCTTTCTCAGCGATGTCCCTTGCAAAACCACTCTCGCAGCAACAAAGAACACCACACTACCCACCATCATCGCCCCAGCAAAGACCTGCAGCCCCCAGTAAGTTCCATGCTGTCGATTCAGAATCGCCCCCGCAATTGGACTTCCGGTCAACGTCGCGATGCTCATGCAGGTATACAATACCCCCTGTCGTACACCCGTTTTGGTCATATCGGCTGTGATCTGACTGAGAAGCGCAGGAACCATGCCGACAAACGCTCCAGAAGCGAACCCATACAGCAAGCTGAAGATGACATAGACAGCCGCAGAGCCAGGCGCCAACATCGTTCCAGGAATCCAGAGGACGAGGATCGTCAGCGCAGAAAGAGTGCACATGGCGATCATCACGTTGAACCGGCCAAGTTTATCTCCAAAGTAACCCGGAAGTATTCGACCAGGAAGACTATCCCATCAGCATACATCTCAACCCGTGCAGCTAGAAACTAACCTCGCAGCATTTAGAATCGTCAATAGATACTCTGCTAGACTCCGACGAACCCCATCCTCCTGCGCCTCAAGAATCACATAGTTGATCGGCACAAACATGGCCCAGAAGCCACAGCAAGCCGCCAGCATCAGCAACACAAACGGCACCTCGGAGAACGGCCCAATATAATCGCTCAACTGCACCCGCCTCGGCACAGGCGCCATGCGCGAGCGGACAGTCATGTTCGCCACAACCAGCAACGCCAACACCACAAACGCGGAGATGCGTAGCGACCATCCAAACCCAACCCGCGGCAACAGTCGCGACAACATCGTCGGGAAGACGACGCCGCCTATCGACGACCCGCTCGACATGATCCCGAACGCGAGAGCACGGCGCTTATCGAACCAGGTCGCCGTGCAGGCGGAGGCCGGATAGAAGACGAAGCTGGCGCCTAGGGGGCTGCAGATACCCTGTGCAAGGAGGAACTGGTAGTACTCGCTCGAGACAGAGATCATCATGAGGCCAAAGACGTGCAGGAAGGTGCCGATGAGGAGCATCCATTTGGGGCCGTAATTGTCGAAGACGCGGCCTAGGACGATGCCTGCGGCAAAGAGCACGAACGGCTCGAGGGATAAGATCCAGGAGATACTGGATGCGGAGTAATCGCGCAGTTGATTATGTTGGTAGTAATCTTGGAAGATACCGATCGCTATTCCGGTCAGAGTTGTCCTCTATCCAGTGGAAACGGGCAGGCTCACCGTTCACCCACCCAAATCCACAAAAGAGACAGCACCAGGCTCCTGCTACTACCGTCCAAGCACGAAGCCCATGGTCCATTGGCGCAGTTGAGTCTTCATTTGTTTCGTTCGCCGTTGCAGCCACATCGTGCTTCACTTCCGCAGCGGGACTAAGTCCCTTCTCTAGACCAGACTCTCTCATCTCAGCTTGAGACATACTGGGCTGCAGGACGGATATTCCATCCAGCTATTGCAGAGGGACACAAGTCGTCCCCAGAAATTTCCCAAAACTTTACTTCAACCATGAAAAAAAAAAAACTTATCTACCCTAGCCTTTCTGGGTCTCCGCTCATCTGCATCAATCAATCAGTCATTTTTAGCTCGTATTTTCTTCTCCAATCAGCAGCGCCAACGCTGGCGTTCGAACTACGGAAACTGCCTAGGGCATCTGTCAATACTCAAAGGAGAATTCTATGCAAGAGCAGAAGAATCTAGCACTGGCAATTTCTAGCCAAGGTGACCAAAGCAAAGGACTACACAAAGGGATTAAAAGCAATAGGATAGTCGAAGAGGAGGGAAATAAAGAGGGTGAAGGAAAAAAAAAAAACAAAAAGGAAAAAGAAGTGTGAGCCTGACTTGAATCGATAACCTTACGATCTGGAGTCACATAGGCCCTATTGGCTGATAATCACCAAGCTTTAATGTTTCTCAAGGCTATCTGTGGTTGCTTGAAAATATTCCATCGTCACTCTTCAGCTGTCGATTCATCGATTGCAGTGTTGATCATCCCTGTGGTTGTCTGATATTTTGGATGCTTTGCTCGTGTAGCTACTTCCCCAGCCTAGCCATTGACTTGGTGATCCAAATGGTGATAAAGTGACCGTTTCTTAGTGCGCAAATATATATCTTGACCAGCCTTGACGTAACGGAGTTATATCGCAAAAGATCACAGCCTTGATCGATGTCTAGACCAGCTTATCCAACCCAATATGCCAAGCCCTTTGACCAGAGAATGATCGTAATTCCTAGTGATCGTATATGGAGCGGATCGATGGTCCTCACCTGGCATGATGTCATTGTATCATGGCGCATGCGTCCCAGGGACTCAAAACTCGCTTCCTCGAACGGAATATCCCTACGATTCTATATACGCAATCATGGGCGTGGATTACTACCGGAAAAAGAGCGTCATAGCACTTCTCCGGATTCTTGTCCGCCTACATTTCAAAGTAGACCCGCATCCTGATGAAGTTCTACATATACCATCCCGAGACGTCGATCGCACCATCAAGGTCCACATCTACAAAAGCTCGGGATCCACGAGAACCTCGCCGGTCCTGATAAATGCTTGCGACAGCGGCTTCACACTCCGCGCATTTGGCATCGACGATGAGTTCTGCCGTTCAATCGCGCAGACAGGCTACACCGTGGTCGACGTGAAGTACCGCCTGGCACCCGAACATCCGTTCCCCGCTGCGTTCGACGATATCGAAGACGTGGTGAAGTGGGTACGGTCTCAGCCTGCGCGATTCGATCAGGCACATATCTCCCTGTCCGGATTCAGCGCAGGCGCCAATCTGGCCCTGGCGGTCGCCTCATCTTCGCTGCTCTTCCGCAGCGCGATCAAAGGCAATGAAGAATCGCCATTCCACGCCGTTGTCGCATTCTACCCATCCACGGATTTATCAGAGCCATCCACAGCAAAGAAGCAAGTGGTCAAATCGAAGTTTATGATTCGAAAGATCTTTCCTCACTTCTCGGAATTCTGTCATTCGTGTTATCGCAACCCCCGCGAGGTCGACATGAGAGATCCGCGGCTTTTGCCGTCATATGCGGATCCGGCGCGGTTCCCCAAGAATGTGCTGATTATCACCACCGAACAGGATCCGTTCACAATTGAAGGTGAGAAGCTTGCAGAGAAGGTCCGCATGGTGGAGGGTCATAACGTGGTATGTCATCGGATGGAGGGCTGTTCGCATGGGTGGGACAAGGAGGCGAAACGCGGGACCAAGGAGTGGAAAGCTAAAGAGGAAGCATATGGATATGCTGCTGAAATGCTTAAGATATGAATAGAGCAGTATTTCAATGGTTAACTGTGATCCTGAAACGAAGAAGTCTCGATGGATAAACTTGAATGGTAGTAGAAGCTAGACCAAAGTAGGAATGGTCAGCTGACATTGGCCGAGGCACAAATGCTCACTACTCTTCAGTGAACCACAGTACCACTTACTTAAAAGCATCAGAGATAGAAAGAGTGAACACTGTCTTGAACCTTGAATATGCAAAAAGGACCTGTACACTACCTACGGTCTCAATCCCAGTGTCATGTGAAGTGTGAGCTGCCAACCGACGCTTATCAGTCTAGTCACTCTAGTGTGGCGGCTGGATCGGGGATCGTCACAATGCATGATCATCCGCAGCTGAGCTCTCAAGGACCTTGAAAGCCACTGTCTCTTATCTTGGTAAATCTTCAATTGTTCTTGATGTTATCTCTGCTCTGAGCACACATCAAACAACACACAGAATGCAGCTACGAGCCTTGTTCCTTATTGGGACATTCCTGACTTCAGCTGCCCAAGGGTTCAACATCTCTCCGTTGGAACTGCGATTTCCTCTTCTCCGTCAACTGCGACTGCTGAACGATGAGACGAGTGCATCGCTGAACCTGGCGTCTTCGAAGGTATTTATTGAGCACAATTTTTCGGTTCCTGTTGACCATTTCCACAATGAATCTCGATATGAACCCCATACTCACGACCATTTCAACATCCGCTACTGGTTCGATGCCAGTCACTACAAGGAAGGGGGACCAGTATTTCTCATTGCAGCCGGAGAGACGGATGCTACGGATCGCTTCCCGTTCCTGTCTCAAGGAATTGTGACCCAGTTAGCCAAAACCTATAATGGCCTTGGGGTTATCCTGGAACATCGCTATTATGGACGGAGCTACCCCTTCGCCAATCTCACCACGAAGAATATTCGATTCTTGTCAACAGAGCAAGCATTGGCGGATTACGCTTACTTTGCTTCCAACGTTGTTTTCCCTGGACTGGAGCATCTGAATATGACTGCTGGGGCCGTACCATGGATCGGATATGGAGGCTCCTATGCCGGGGCATTTGTGGCTTTTCTTCGCAAGGTCTACCCGGACGTCTTCTTCGGGGTTGTTTCATCGTCTGGAGTCACCGCGGCCATCGACGACTATTGGCAGTATTATGAGCCTATCCGCCAATTCGCACCGTCCGGCTGTGTATGGAGTGTGGGAACGTTCATGGATATTGTGGACACCATACTGGTTGAGCACTCCAAGAACAAGACAATGAAATCGCAACTCAAGGCTATTTTTGGTGCAAATCCATCCATTAGCGATGAGTTTTTCGTTGCGGCTCTCTCGAATATCCTCGGAGCCTTTCAAGGCCGGAACTGGGATCCTGCGGTCGGCGATGGCACCTTTCAAATGTATTGCAAGAATCTCACGAGTCCGGTATTGCTCTATCAGCGGAATGATACCATAAAGGCTTGGGCGGAGGAGCTCATCTCGACCACAAAGTACGAGGCAACCAACTCCAGCTTGGTCACAGGGATGCTCAACTATGCCGGATACGCGAACGCTACGATTTTCTCCCGTCTCGATCAGGGTTCTCTGGAGAGCTCCTCCAATCCCGAGTTACGACAGTCCCTGGAAAAATCGGCAGGGGTTAGTTGGGGGTATCAAGTCTGCACCGAATGGGGATACTTTATGCCCGGATCAAGCGTCCCAACCGATAGACTGCCACTCGTCTCCCGTTTGCTCACGCTTCCCCGAGCATCTCAGTTCTGCAAGGACGACTTCAACATCACCACACCCCCTGATACCGACCGGATTAACAAGCACGGCGGATTCAACTTCTCTTACCCCCGTGCGGCCATTATCGATGGACTGGCCGATCCTTGGCGTGACGCGACACCACACGCGGACGGTGTTCGGCCGAGGAATTCAACGGACGAGGAGCCGTTTATCCTTGTTGATGTCCCGGCTGAGGACGTCTGGGATGGAATTCGCGGTGCGGTACATCACTGGGACCAGAATGGCTTGTCTGAAGAAGACGTAAAGCAAGGAAAAACCGCACCAAAGGCCATAGTCGACCTTCACCAGGAAATTGTACGGTTTGTGGGAGTGTGGCTGGAGCAGTGGGGAAAACACGAGAATGTCTCAGACCCAGCGGTGAACATGGCAGTTGGACATGGACAAATGGTGCTGGAAGGGAATCGAGCACTCATGAGTTAAGAGTGTCGATGGGATCACTCAAAGAAAAATGAATGACGATATTTGCCTAGTGATAGCGTGACGTTGCAAGCTCTCTTTGCTTGCAAATTTAGCTGTTGTAGCATGTGTTCGGCGCTAGAAATCTCCACCCGGGAGAAACAGTTTCACTGTGGACACTCAACTATCCACACTCCTCATTGAACGCGAATCGGAGACTTTGACACCTGCTGATGCAAACCAATAGCATCAACAAGGCTGAAACTAGCTTTGTTAATGTTGCAAATGTTGCAATTTGTTGAGTGTGTCAATTGGACTGCGTGGGGCGAGACAATATTCCCACAGTTTTGATAGGCTTTCCACAGACCCTGAGTCCGGATGCCGAAAATAACTGAATCATCACTAGACTACCATCCGCAGCTGGTTGATCGATGTCACTGCGATGCCGAACGGGACAGTGGATTGATTAATGGCGCTGGAATGGTCGAACCATTGCTTGATTGATCTTAGTGCTCACTTACAGCCCTCTCGGCATAGCAACAGACATTTATCAACCCCGGCCTTGGACCCTGGACAGTGCACACTGAGACTAATTGGATTTCTATGTTTAGGGCGCTAAGGCGGGATATATTGGGGAGTGTCTCACAGGCTACAGCCGAGTCTTATCTTCCTGGCAGCGGGGTTGCTTCCTTCTTCATTTGTCGAGCTTACCTAGGTCGCTGATATATCCATCTACATGTGCCCGACAAACCTCCAGCACGCTCAGACCGAGCATCTGAATCGACGGTCGCGTTCGACATGAGGCCGTTGGAATTGAAGCTGAAGCCAGAATTCCGCCGGCTCGCACCAATGGCGCTGGCCGCCGTCCTGTTCTTCTGTATGCTGGTGGTCTTCTACGGGGTGATGCCGGCATCCTGGGGCGTGACTCTGCACGAGATGACCGGAAAGCCAACGGCCGGCACCCAGAACAGCTACGGTACCAATTCCGGGACATCCGGCTCGAGCGACGACTTCCAGCATGCCGACCGTCGCTGCCACACGCTCCCGGACCCGGGGAACATCCTGTTCATCGTGAAGACGGGCGCCACGGAGATCTACGAGAAGCTGCCGACTCAGCTGCTGACGACGCTCGGGTGCGCGCGAGACTTTTTGATTTTCTCCGACCTCGAGGAGCAGATCGGCCCGTACCATATCCTCGATGCGCTGGCGGACTTCAACGAAACCATGAAAGACACACATGCCGACTTCGAGCTCTACCGCCAGCAACAAGAGTACCAGCGCGGGGGCCTGGATATCGCCACGCTCAAGAACGACGGCAAGGCAGCCTGGAGGCTCGACAAGTACAAGTTCCTGCACATGGTGGAGAAGACGTGGGCCCAGAGCCCAAACATGGACTGGTACGTCTTCATCGAGAGCGACACGTACGTTGTCTGGACGAACCTCCTCCTCTGGCTGCGCCAGTCCTCGCCGAAGGAGAAGCTGTACATGGGTTCGGCGTCCTTCATCGGGGACCAGGGTTTCGGCCACGGCGGGAGCGGGTACGTCATTTCGAAAGCGCTGATGGAGGCGTTTGTGGGGAAGAATCCGGGGATGGCGGGCCGCTACGACGATGTATTTCCGACCGAGTGCTGTGGGGATTTCGTGCTGGGGCGGACCCTCAAGCAGGAGCTCGACGTGGGGATCCGGAATTTCTGGCCCCAGGTGAACGGGGAGAAACCCGTGACGCTGGAGTTCGGGCCGAAACAATGGTGCCAGCCCGTCGCCACGATGCACCATGTCATGCCGCGCGAGCGCAGTGCCATTTTCGATTTCGAGCAGGCGCGCGACGATGTAACGGTATGCCTCTAGCCCAAATGATACAGCGCAGCACTAACACCCCTAGGTACCGCTTCTCTTCCGGGAACTCTCCGAGCTGTCCTTTCCGCCGGGTAGGATGCGCGTGCAGGAGGACGACTGGGATAACCTCGCCGATGTGCCGGTGGACCTGGACAACCCCTCGATGCAGTCCTGTCGAGACGAGTGCCTGAATCACGAAAACTGCTTCCAATGGCGGTATAGCGAGAAGGAATGCCACGTGTCGACCGAGTCGTTCCGGCTCGGAACAAAACGGCTACCCGAGGACCAGCGGCGGTGGTTCTCAGGGTGGCACATCCAGCGAATCCAGGAATGGCGGGATGCGCATCCGTGCAAGGACCCAGCGTGGGTGAAGGCGCATTAATACCAGCAAATCTGTACATAACGTTGTAGCATATGATTATGATGACGAGTGATTCCATGTCATGACAGTAGACGCGATCTTCTATGCTCTATGTACTGTATGTCTAGCTAGTATGATACCGTTTAATCCTCTCCATCCGCCTCACCGACCTCGCATCCTCAACCCCGTCTAGAGTATCATCCAACCGCTCATTCGGCAGCAGAATCGCCCGATCAAGCTGATACGGCAGACCCCGATGCCGGCCGCGGATCATCATCGCACAGACAACCAGCTTGCTGAAGACGGTGAACTGCCCGCTGAGGGAGGTATTGACGGTCGGGTACCCGAGGCTCAGGCCGACGTTCGAACTATACTCATCAGTTTTTGTCAAACAGGAGGCAGAAATAAAAACATAAACATACTATGCGGAAACCACCTCGAAGAAGATGGGGAAGACGGCGAACGCCTGGACGTGTCAGCTCCTCGCAATCAAGGGGAAAGGGGAAGGGGACGAACCGGCTCCGCGGGATCCATGATGCGATTCGACTCGGCGATGCAGATGCAGAAGATGCCGAGGAAGATGTACCACAGGTCGAAGGTGAGCTGGTTGCGGATGTGGGTGAGGACGTAGGAGCGGCCGTGGGATTCGTCGATGGTGGCGTCATCGGGGTACATGCCCAGGGCGCGCTCCTCGTAGGTGTTGGAGGCGCGCACGCTGATGGCGATGGGGAAGATGGCGATGTACATCATGACGAGGAGGGAGAATTGCACGGCGGGGTTGACGTTGGCGAGGTTGAAGGTTGCGGTGCCGGTGTGGCGGGCGGAGGCGGCCTGGAAGATGGAGGCCAGCACGCGGGGGCCGGCGGGGAGATTGTTCACGGCGGGGTTGTGCAGGTCGAGGACGAGGATGAGAATGATGTCGACGAAGTTCATGGTGAAGAGGATGCCGAAGAGGACCCAGGTGGGTTTGCTGGGGAAGAGGAGCGTGTAGCAGCGGCGGGGATGGTTGAGGAGGAAGCTGAGGGGTTCTTTCATGGAGGAGCGGTGCGGGCAGAGCTTGAACATGGTCCAGATGATGAACCGCAGGAGACAGGGGTAGAAGGTGTTGCCGGCGTAGGCGAGGAAGCTCATGACGATCAGGGGGAACGTTGCGTCCTGGAAGCTGATCATCGAGTCGGGAGTCAGGGTGAAGCCGAGGTTGTTCACCATCGTCTGTGCGGAATAAAAGCCCCTGATTATATGCTTAGTGATTTGGAGCCTCCAAAGGGTAGGGAGGGGACGTACCACCAGACGCTGCCTTGTCCACATTCAGCAAGGTATTCGCGATACTTGGGGTTCGCGTGCTGAATCCAACCGACCAGGCAGATTGCGCCAAAGAGTTGAAGTCCAAAGAAGTAGCCTGTGACGATCTTGAGCAACAGTTTCAAACTGCGATATTCTATTCCACCGAGCAGCTCGCGATCCTCGGTGGTCAGGTTATGGAACTGCGAGTTCCGGCCGATCGTCGCATGAGACGACAGTTCAGGCAGGTCCAGCTGCTGAGAGAGAGACTGGTCGAGGGGCTGTGTCTGCGCCTTGGGGCCATGGCTGGCGGACGGGCCGATCACAAACATCGAGGACGCCACTCGCTCGATGGTGTCGGTGTGAGCCAGTCTGCTCGTGAACCGCCGGCGAGAAGAGCCGGTGTTGGCTATCTGAGTGTCGACGGATTTGGTCCGCTCTGTAACAGGCATCAGTTGTGTGGTCAGTACGGTAGGGGCTTGACTTACCGCAGTCGCTCAACTCATCGTCGACTTCCACTATGGGCTGTCCTCTATCTCGTTGCCAAGGAGGAGGAACGTATAGAGCCTTGTCCCGACCAGAATCGTGCACGTTGTCGGCAAAGGTGATGGTGGTCAGGGGAAGGCTGGCGTCTGTAACGCTCAGGGGCAGGCTCTGCGACTCGTTCGGGAGAGAGTCTTGTCTGGTGCGCCATGAGCAGTCATTCAGGATTACTGCATGGACGGTTACTCACTTCTCCGATGTTGTGGCCGTCTTCAGATCACTCTCCGCGCCCGCTTCTGCGTCATCTTTCATACGTCTCTGCCGGAAAAAGGCAGGGGCTGTATCACCTGATTAGCTCTGCTTGCTCCAGTGCAACCAGGATCTGGAAATGCATACCGGCTTCCTTGAGACGCTTGTCGAACCAGCGCAGCCGCACAATCACCACGAGGATGTTGATGAAACCTAGATTGCTGATGATGGGAATCACATAGATGTAGACCTGCTGATAGGTTTTCAAGAGTTTGACATCAACTCTACGCCTCGTCAGTATTTCCAATCACCCAAGGATCGAGCGACCAACGTGTTCAGTCCCGACTCTGTCGACGCACTCGCCCCGAAGAAGAACGCATCGATGGCTCGGAGGTTGCCATAAGGGTAGATGATGACCAGACTGAGGATGCTCAGAGTGATTATGTACGCATCTGCAGGTCGGAGTAAGTCTCTGAGTGATCTATCTGTTTCAGGAATGCCTCTACTGACAATGCAGAGTGATAAAATTGAGGGAAGGCTTCCACATCACTGGGAACCGGCTCAGCGACTGATGCAACGAGGCAGACGCAGAGGCAGATGAAGAAGCACTTGAAGACGAAACCAGACGAGAGAAAAAGAGAACAAATGCATGCTCTTAAAAAAATCTCACGCAGGCACTACACGTGGGGTGAAGCTTGTGTGTGGCGGTGCATGAAAAAGACGCATAATGAGGTTTGAGGTTTAAGGTTCATTTTAGCTTGCGGGATTTATCTTGTCCAATCCTCATGACAGCCAGAGATATTGCTCACCTGCTCGCTTAGGGACGACAAATCCCATAGGTTTCCCTTATCACTGGGGGCAAATTCTTTACCTAAGGCAAATTGCCTCCTCGTTCAGCTTTGACCATTTCTTTTGGATAAAAAAATCGATCTACAAAATCCCTACACTTATATGTAACACGGCACTCATCTTCAACCATCAGCTAGACCTCTTCATCTCTCTGTCTTAATATTTTGATCGTAAACTCCACCGTAAACTGGCCAGTGGGAAACCTCCACCCTGCGCTTTGCTGCCTGAGTCTTTTGACCACCAGCACAACATCGCAGATGAAAAAGACCAGATGTAGAGTCCTAGCGCAATTAGCTCGATCCCCCAAAGAACGATTGATACTCACAAGATGGCCATCTGAAACACAAGCCCCACGAGTATCACTGCCCTGATCGCGTTCGCAAACCTCTCACATCCCGCCCCGAACTCTGGAGCTGGAAAATCCGGGCGAGAAGCATCACAGTGCTCCCAGTCTGCGATCCAGTAGCTATCAAGAGCGGGGTTGAGCAAGAAGAGGAACACGATCAAAGGATCGAGGATGAGGCTGACAAGGGGCCATGCGCTGCCGTTCAGCACGGTCAGTTTGAAGATGCCGAACAAGCTGACGGCCGCGCAGAGGAAGCTCTGTGGGAGGTGTTATCAAGGCATCAGACTGGTTGAGGAAGAGTGCATACCAGAGGGAGCAAGGCTTCGACACTGTCTCTCGTTCCCCAGCGGAGAAAGTCATTGTAAGGGGAGAGTTTCACGACCAGGTAGACGGTGAGATTGTACAAGAAGGTCAAGGCGGATATAATGACGGACGACCAGATGAGGATGGTGACAATTCTTGACGATGATGTTCGTCGCGTTGGGATGGAATTCTCGTCCTCATGGTCGGCCTGTCCGGGAAAAAGAGGAGTTGTTTCGTCCATGTCGATCAGATCTTATGGTGAGGGATAAAACCACGCGGCTTTGAGGAGTTGGAGGAAGAAGTCGATACGCGTCGAAGCTAATGTAATCAACCTATTTAGGCAGAATCATACCATAACCATTGAGCGCACTACCCTAGCTAGTTCTAGACTAAGCACCAAGAATCAAGCTAGGCAGTGGGGAAAACGAACATAGGAATGAAATGGCATCTGATGCTTGTATACCTTTAGATAATAGGCAGAATATCAAGACCATTACAGGGTTATTTGCGCAGTCCTAGCTACTCTGTGCATGGCAATGTGGAGTCTTACGGTTCTTGTTCATGCACAGAAATCCAAGTACCTTAAGAATAACACCTCTTCCTTGTGATAGATCTAATCCAATGAGAGAATGAGAGAATGCTTTTCAAGTAGTGTTAACAACCTGAGGCAGATTCTTTGTAGAATTATTCTCTATATAAACCATTTCCACGCTATTCTATACTCCAACTTGTATTCCCAGTACGAGCAGAAACAAGGCCTCATCTATTCATAATTATTATTATTATCATTATCTGTCCCACCAGAAGATTCTATGCGTCTGGAAAAACCAACCAACATGCCGTCAAGAGAGAAGCATTATTGGTTGCTGTGGAAGAGTGTCAGATTTTAGTGTCCAAAGCGTAGGGAGACGTGCCTCCTTTCCACTTCCTTCATCCTATCATTCCTCATTCCTATCCATCCATCACCCTGATCTCAATATCAAAATGAGTGCCAATCGAGGCGCCAAAATTGTCCTGCACTGGTAAGATGCTCCCTCCCAAGATGCCACCCACTATCTGACCTCTACAGGCTGGAAAAATCCCGAGCCCAACGGATCATGTGGCTCATGGAGGAGCTAAATCTCTCCTACAACATCAAGACGTACAAACGCGGCCCCAATGGCGTCGCGCCTCCCGAGTTGAAACAGATCCATCCGCTGGGGAAATCACCCATTGTGTCGGTGCAACCCCCGGATGCCTCCCAGCCCATGGTCCTGGTCGAGTCGGCTCCCATCCTCGAGTACTTTCTCGATCATTTCGGTGGAGCCAACGCCCGGCTGGTTCCCCAGCGCTACCAGCCCGGTCGCGAGGGCCAGTTGGGCGGCGAAACGGAGTCCTGGATGCGCTATCGGTACTATATGCACTATGCCGAGGGGAGTCTCATGTCGCCAATCCAGGTGCAACTGATCATGAATGGTATTTCTCAGTTATTTCTTGTCCTGTATGTATGGCTGATGGCGGACCGAACAGCGGTCAAAAATGCCCCCGTCCCCTTCTTCATCAAACCAGTCACCGGGTTCATCACCGGCAAAGTCAGCGCCGAGTTCCTCGACCAAGAGCTGCGGACCCATTTCCGCTTCCTCGAGGGCCAGCTGGCGTCTGCTCCTGAGCAAGGGCCGTTTCTCTGCGGCTCACACCTGACCGCGGCCGATATCCAGATGAGCATCCCGGTCATTGCCGCCCTCAATCTGGCCATCATTCCGCGCAAGGAGTATCCACGACTGGATGCCTATGCCGGGGAGATTCAGAATTCCCAGGGTTACCGACGGGCCGTGGAGAAGGTGGAGAAGATCGAAGGGAAGCCCTTTGTGCCGATCTGAGCTATACGGATTGTAGAGTAGAGCAGGGACTAATGTAGTCTTCGTGGTGGTTGGACCAACAGCTCACGAGATTCCTTGACCAAACTGCAACCTGCAGGATTAGTTTACGGGCTAAAATTTAATCTAAACCTGGCCCCAGGACCGGGATGATCCACGGAGTAACCACATGGCACAGCCATTTACCCACTGTGTAACCTAACACTGCATTAGACACAGCTTGTAGCGCTGATCGTGCAGTTCGGAATAGCTCGTGCATAAGAATAACCAGGTAATGACACGGCCCCTTCGAGTAAGATGGCTGTACGCCTTGTCGACTTTGCCGATCTCGGCTAATGGCAAGATCGATCGCCACGCCCTTTTGGCCCTGGCGACGGAGCCTCCAAGCGGTGGGGGGGGATGTCCACGAGCCAACAACCTCCACGGAGAGGATTATTGCGGAGATTTGGCAGACATTGCTCCCGTCTGCACAGTCCACGTCCGATTGGCGGAGACGATGATTTCCTGAGCATTGGAGATAATTCCCTCCTCTCCATCCAGGCCGCTCGCCGGATTTCCGCTGCGGTTGGTCGTCACATTCCCATTCGCGTCCTCCTGCGCGAGACGGTCCTTTCTAGTTTGGCGCAGGCAATCGACCAGTATCGTCCTCAGGACGGGGTGAGACAGGAGGGATCTTTTGCTTCGTATTTGTCCAAGCAGGGTGACATTGGGCACCCATCAACCGTATGAAAAAACAACCGGATCGATCTTCCAGCCGTCACAGGCATCCTGCAACTTATGCGGTACCAAGGTATTGCAACCAAATCTCATAGAATTGCTCAAACCACTGGACCCAATTGACAATCCAAAATAGGCATACCTACAGTTCTGCTCAAGCTCCCGCGGTATGCTGAGACACGGGCCGGGGACGTGGAGCCAGCATTCCGCCGACCTTAAATATACCCTCAAAGTCAGAGGCGGCATAGAAGGATCCCCTGAACGGCTCCATTGGTTCTTCTTGTGTGGTTCTGGGATCGTCTAGATTCATCCAGGACTCATAGCCGGAATCCCCATCAGCAGGCGCTGCGACAGAAGGCAGGACTCCCTTGCCTTTGAGAATCCTGGCATTCTGAAACCCATCCGAGCCGTGGCCAAGTCTTAAGGATGTCTTCAATGGTAAAGAAACACAAAGGAGTCAGATAATCAGCATATGCAGCAATCCATCTAGATGGCCACTACGCCTCTCAGGAAGGATGTCACATGCCCATCATGTGACGTACTCCTTGCTACTTCCTGTATCCAGCATGTACACCTAGATTAGTCCATAAGGATTCACTTCACACGAGCCTTCTCACCCAGGAAGGCCATACTCTATTGAATCTTCAGAACAGGCTCTCAATCCAGGCGCCCTGCCTAGGATAAGGGACAGCTCCCCCTCCGCGCGCTGCCT